CAGAGAGGTTCCTTTCAACAGAAAGAGTTGTATGGTAAATGGTAAATGGACTGCACTTATATAGCGCCTTTCTATCTTATCCAGATACTCAAAGTGCTTTACACTACAATCTGTGCTCTCATTTACCCGTTCATTCAGCACTCTACTAGATCTCTACAAAGTTAATTGAACAAATCATTCTAAAGAGACTAATCAGTGCTTTGAGATCACATTCATACACAGATGGGACACACATCAGAGGCAATGAGGGGTTCCGTTTCTTGCCCAGGGACACTTCGGCATGTGACTGCTTGTGGATTCGAACCCCCAACTCTTGCATTGGAGGACGACTGCCCTAACGACTCAGCCACAGCCATATAAATGGAGGACATCCATAGCAATTTTACCATGTGGACATGTAATAAACAAACAAACAAAAAGGACGAAATACGCAATGGTCCTAAATCATGAAACAATTGCAAATGTTAGCTCTCATTGGGATGTGCCGTTCGACCACGGCGTTCGAAGCCTGCTCTTATTCTCAGATTGAGAGAAGACTTGCGCTGACACGAATAACGGCTGAGAAGAATGAAGTTTTACCATTAAATTTATATTAGGGCAGATAAAAAGGTACAGGCTTACAGCGCTGTGACTTCATCCGACCCACGGCAACCGGGAACTGGAAGCAAAGTCCCGAGCTCCCGAAGAAACTCGGCTTTCTTCGACTCTAGACTCCGCCCTTAATTTGGGGTGGAGTGCAACCTCATTGAATCAGTACTGTATATTATGTGTGGACCTCCGTAGCTATGTAATTTTGTGGTGCTTCGGTGAAATGACAGTAAAGCTGATTCTGACCTCTACAGGTCACAACTAGTTTAAACTGATGATAGTGCAGTGTCTAAAATATGCAAGCAGTAAACAATCCCATATAAGGGGTTGTTTCTGGGACTGCTCATCTTTGAGCAGATGAAACAAATCTTTGTCTGGTCAGAGACAGGCTCAATGTCTGTCTGTGGACAGGCAAAGTAAGGTTTTCTTTTGAGTTCAATGAGGACAGATGTAACAGGGATACATTTGGTCATATCTGTACTGTCTTTGTGTTTTGTGCAAGGAAATTTAAAAAAAAAGTGTTAGCTAATACGTCCGACTGTTTGTTCTGCGGCACTAAGCCCAACATGTGAACTAAACTGAAATAATGCTTAAGGCCGTTACACGTAGGCCTGTCACGATAAACAATAAATCAATTAATCACATGATAAATGATAATTACCAACCTCATTTTCATTCATCTGCTTTATCGTTTCTTCATATCTCTCTCTTTCTACTGAAGACACTGGATGACAAGAATCAACTCCGGTGCTCTTCACTACTTTGACAATAATTATTAATTATTGTCAAATTTCAAACAATATTATCATTTATCGCAATAATATCCGAGACAATTAATCACCCAGCAAAATTTGTTATCAGGACAGGCCCAGTCACATCCATTTATATTTCAGTAGCATTATTCCTCTGCTAACGGCTGCTAATGCTAATGCTGACTGTACTCTAAGAAATAAATAAATAAAAGATGTGAAAAGCACATCTGATTTACATCAAAACCAAACGTTAGCATTTCAACCAGTGTCAGCTTTCAGAAAATGAACTTACTGATTGGACAGGGGGGGCGCATGGAGAGGAGAGATGTTTTGTCTAGCTGGGAGATGCCATTTCTGCTAAGAGTGACGTTATTAAGGACAATTTAACAACGGAATTATTTAGCAACAAGCTAATACAGGCCCATGTAAGAAGAGTTGAACAAAATAAAGATCAGGGTCAGTTTCCTGCTTGTTGTTTTTTATACTAGCCTGTTGCAACATTTAGCTAACCTTTTGCTACTTTTTTGTGCTAATATCTTTAGCCTATTTTTGAAGCTAGGGTTTTGCTTCTTTTAGCATTTAGGGAATAGTTTTATTTTAGCTTTAACAACTAAGTTTCATCTAGTCATAATGCATGCAGTACTGCAGTTGGGCAGAAAATGCTTTTTCTCTAGTCCGAATTTGAAATATGAATGTTTCCCTTCAAATAAAAAAAGTTTGTTTGCCTAATCTAACAGACAAAAAAGAAACACAAATAGCAAAAGTTTGAGAATATTCAATAAACCAAAGTATAAATCTGTGTTCAAAATGTCGCCCTGCCAAAAAAAAATTAAATTTATTAGCACTAATTAGACAAAATTATTATCGTCCATTAACAGATTTGCACTGAAAATAAGGAGCAAAGTGTGTTCGTCATCACTTTTTAAGGTGCAGATCTAATTAGTTTTAATTTCCTTTCAGATATTGTTGTCACTTTCATAATATTAGCAACACATTAAAAAAACAAAACATACAGAATAAAAAAAATCAAAGTTAATTGAATAACTGTTTAAAAAATCGTTATTAAGACAAAACACGACAAACAGAGTTTGTGGTTCGTCTTTGGTTAAACAGTTCCAGTGACTCCCAGTCTTAATGCTGTATTACCCACACAGGTTTTTTCCTGAGAGCATTAAAATGTGCTTTTTATTCTGCGGTGGACTGTTTCAGCTGAAGTGTTTCGCAGCGCTGTGAGCGCACATATTTTTAGACTGAACGGCCCCTTTGGGAATCAGCAATGTGACCTGACATTAACATAACCAAACCGGTAACAAAAGCTGGTATGAGCTGAATTAAGAGGGATGTGCTGGGTGATTAGCCAGGTTTTTGCTGCACATTAAAAAAGAAGGATAATTTTAAGTTGTATGTTGCTTTGCAGCAGTTTGAATCTGTGTAAGGAAGTCCTGTTTTTTTTTTTTTTTTTCAGGCGTCAGTGTGCAGCGACTCTAATGCATCTTGGCAATGAATAGTGTCCATTGATTCAACCACATCAAACTCACTTCCTCCCCAAAGAGCTCCTTGCATGCACTTGTTTTCTGCAGGTTTGCGTGCGATATATACCGAGAATGTGGGCTAAACAAAATAAATCCATTTAGGGGGAGAATTTTTACAACTTCCTCTGACAATACTGAATAAACTGCCAGCAGGAAGAAAAACTTGGACCTAAATATACAACACTGAGTAAGAGTGATTGATTACTTTGATGCATTGCAACAACTGCTCGCCAGGAAAGTCACGTTGAAATTAAGTGACACCTGGAACCCTCCTCACGAAACAAACCGAAGATGCATTGCTATGTTAACTCCAGACTTATGATATCAAGTCAGAAATTTTGGTGTGATCTCCTTTTCTCTGAGAGCATGGAGAGTGCCTCAGAGCACAATGACAGCAGTATCAGTGTGAGATCTCCTGAAAAGGAATGAAGCTGTAAAATGTCATTTATCTACAGGGCTTCTGTTAACGTTTGCTCCCAGGAAAGTACGAAATTGAGATAAAAGCTGGCCAATCGAGTGTCAGCCTGCCTACTGCCTGCTTGCAATGATGACGGGCTGATAAAAGCGATGGATGAGAATATGTACTATGCCTTTAAACCTCAGCGGCTTCATTTATCTGGAGCTCTCCATCAGCAAAGCTTGCAAAGTTTATACTAAAATCAATGTTCTTCTAACTGGCATGCTCTGTTTTTATTACAGGTTTAGTTGTAAAGTTAAATATGACTCATTATAGAGAGCGGCAACATATTCCAGATTTATGCATTTATTGAGGGTGTTTCTATCATTGGCCCCATATGTGACAGTCTGTTTTATGAATGTGGAGGCTGAACGAGTTCCACAGGGAGCTTTAAACTGGGCTCATGCTACACAACTAACCCCCTTTGTGACTATTATGGTGTAATCCAGACAATGGACGTTATTCTAGTTTATTATACAACTTCTTGTTTTGCATACAAAAACTGAAGACATTGCATTCTTTGACAGGCTGCATATTGTCCATGCCAAAGTTGTAAACGAAGATAGTCTTATGATGAGAAATGACTGAGTTTTAGCTATTTTGCTCAGACATTGTAAATTAAACACAAGCTCTCATACAATGTTAAATCGTCTCGCAAGATATGTTGGTGCTCAACGTATTGTCGATGACTCATTTACTACCACGTCAATCTTTTGCTCACTATACAAAACCACTGACCGAGTCATAGACATTTTTTTTGTGTTAGCACACACAGTAAAAAAAAAAAAAAAAAGAAGTCAATTAGCTGTGGTGGCCATCTGGAATTGGATGTACTCCAAAAGTGAATAATCTTTAGATTTACAACCAATGATTGCTAATTAATTAATGAGGGTTTCATTAAAATGTGTGCAGTGGTTCACAATATATTTTGCTAACACTATAGACAAACATACGCACACACACGCGTGCAGGAAAAAAAAATGCATCATTAGACACTGCATTGAATACAGCGTTACGGCAAATATTTAACACTGAGTTTGTCATTAAAGTTCAGTATTTTGTTAGAGTCCAGGTATTCACATGAGTTTTGGCATATTTTACAGATCCAAGCAGGGCTGCAAATCAACACCCCTTCGATGGCAGCAGTCTGCCCCAGAACAACATTACACTGCAAAAATAATAGATAGATCGATAGCTAGAGATAGATAGATAGAAAGCTAGATAGCTAGAAAGCTAGATAGCTAGCTAGATAGATAGACTGATGCACAAAGGTAAACAAGGAACCCAAGGAAATGAAGTATTTCTTTATGCCAGTTAAATGAAGTGATGCTCAACACCACGCAGTTTTCAAAGAATCTGATTTTACATTTGAGTTCCCATACAACAAAAAGGTTTAACTTTTACAACTCCCATTCATGAGAACGACACCACACGTTTAATTAGAACTCAAAGCCAACAGAAATAAATTGTGCCAAAATACCTAAAAATAAAAAAAGGGGGAATCCAACCCCCCCAAAATGCACAAGTTACTTTCACTTCAACACATGCAACAAGTAAAAAAATAAAAATAATAATAAAAAAAAGTATTTTTTCTTTCTAAATTGCACTTATAGGTGTTTTTTGCCAACTCTGAAACAAATCATTCAGTGCCCCAAGCATCTCAGATCTTACCTTAAAATCACAGATACAAGTCACCATGTTCCCAATTCTTAGGCACTCGCCATCAAACTTGCAAGTGTTGGTGTCGCACAAGAACAGGTCTGTGTCCCGGTCATCAAAACCTGGAGGAAGAAAGCAACAGGAGACATAAGGGACCGAGCGTTTTTCTGTTCATCCTTCAGACAAGTCAAACGTGGACCTCGTTCACGGTCATTGATAATGAGTGTCTCCATTAATCATGGCTCCTAAAGGCTGATGCACTCTTTGATCACATGCTGTACAATTCACAAAAGAGCATAGTAGTTTAGTATTTGCCCCTTTCTGCCTAATAAACATACAAAACAAGTTACTGGATTGAGATATTTTTGAGCCTGTATTTTGATAATGGCTGTGGAAGACAGCTGCTTTAGACAGTGGTTCAATTCTCATTTGATCCATGAAACCAACAGGATTTGTTTATTTCTCATTGCAGTTATTTATTAATTTTTGTGTACAAATGGGCTGGCTCTCAGAGCATCGTCTCGGAGAGGCAAACTTGGGATATGATCCAATTCAGGCTGTGTTATGGATCCCAAATGACATCCTGAATCAAATCATAGTCATATAAGCATGAGACACAAAGCTCAGGGCTATTTGTCTACCTGAACTGATTGCTTACAAAAAGGCACCCTGTGTGCATGAAGGCTTCCACAAAGTAAAATGCTTTACATTTGACCAAATTCCACCTGACATGGGATGGATATCCACCCCTTTTTTTTTTAGATAAAAGCAAAGCAGAGTTACAAACAGCAAAGTGGACGTTATCTTTCTGTTTAGCTGCAGAAACAATTCAGATTCCATCTAGAAAAGGCATCATTCTATACAGCTGCTGCACCGCGCTTCGGGTTATAGAAAGCTGGAGGTGAAGCAAGGTGCACCTTGGACATATTGCCAATCTATCAAAGGACTAACACAGAAAGACGGAAAACAAGGCATACTTGCAGAGGCAATTTAGAATCCCAAGCTGACCTTAAATGGTTTGAACACTTTGGGAGAAACCAACAGCACAAGGGGTCACAGAGCCAAAATGGAGATATGAACGGTAGCATATCAGAAACAGACTCATAAGCAGAAATCTGAAACCTTTCACCTTGAATCGACAAAATGTATGCTTATTGTGCTTCAACACTTTTTATTAATACATTTAAAATAAATAAGTATTTTTTAATTTAAAATCCTTATTGTGTGACTCTTTATGAATCATTGTCACTATTGTGATCCATAAGTTTTTTGGCATCTTCCTCGTTCCACAATTGTTGTGCTTTTTCAACAAATCCTATATTAGAGCATTCAGCTCTTTCAGGACAATCCTGCTGTGACTGTTGGTGTTGGTGCAACTTTAGCTTTTTGAAATATTTAGCCTTTTCTGCCTTTTTTTTTTTTCTCAGAAAATTATCTGAGATCATTTTACATTCTTCAAATCTTTAGATCTGTTTACAGCCTTTTACTGCTCCTTTCACATTTTGTTCTGGTTCAACTTCTTTCAGTTCCCTTGTGCAAATTTAAACTTTTCTTGGCTACTTTCAGCTAATTTCATCTGTTTTGTCATGTTTTCAGAGTTTTTCTTCTAACTATAACATTTGTGTGCTCCAACTTCTTTCTGCAAATTTCATCTTATGTTCCTTTTAACTTATTTCTGCAAGTTTCATCTTTTTTTTTAATATTTCAGCTACTATTTAGCAGTTTTTTGTGCTAGTTTCAGCTTTTTCAGATGATTTCCACTGTTTTGTACTAATTTCTGCTTTTTTCAGCCTAACTGGGCAAACAAGTTAGTTCTGCTTCTTTCTGCTAATTTAGGCTTGTTCTAGCTTAGCTACATTTTTAGCATTTTTTTTTGTTTGTGCTAATTTCAGGCATTTTCTGATAAATTCAAGTTTATTGTGGTAATTTCTGTTACTTGCAGCCTAATTAACGTATTTACGCAAATGTCAACAATCCATGCTCCTTTCAGCTTTTCTGCTAGTTTTTGTGCTAAATTTAGGTTTTCAGCTAATTCCAATATGTTTTAAACTTGTTTCAGCTCCTTCCACTTTCTTCTGTTAGTTTAAGCTTCTTTCTGCCGTTTCAGCAACTTTTCGACTAGTTTCATTGCCAATTTCAGCTTTTTTAGCCAATTTCCTTTGTGCAAATTTCTGCTTATATAAACCTAATTCAGCAAATATGTCATTTCATTTTTGTGCTTTAACTTCTTTCTGCTAATTTCAGCTACTATTCAGCAGTTTTTGTTTGTTTGTTGTTGTTGCTAATTTCAGCTTTTTCAGATAATTTCCACTGCTTTGTGGTCATTTCTGCTTTTTCTGGTCTAATTGGGCAAACAAGTTATTTCTGCTGCTAATTTAAGCTTGTTCTAGCTTAGCTACCTTTTTAACATGTTTTACCTAATTTCCAGCATTTTTTTTGATAAATGCAAGTGTTTTGTGGTCATTTCTGTTACTTTCAGCCTAATTAACTATTTTATGCAAATTAACTAATTAACAGATTAACTAATTTTCTTTGTGCTAAATTCTGCTTACTAACACTAACATAGACTTGTTCTGCTGTTTCAGCTACATTTCAGTATGTGTTAGCTATAATTTCAGCTGTTTTTAGCAAGTTCTTGAGCAATAAGCATTCACACTACATTTTCACAGGAAATGCAATTTCGCTAGTTTGCTATAACTTGCACAGATTAGCTAATTACATATTTCTATGTCTGTACATTTTTTTTCAATGAGAAAAATTCACAGCAACAAACATCATGGTGCAAATGTAGCAACAGTCAGTGCTAATGAAAATAAAGAAAAGGGAAAAACAGGCATGTATGTAGACTGAATTGAAGTGCGACATCTTAAATAAAAGTTTTCAGCAGTGGTTTGTAAGCAGCATCGAGACTGGGCAGTTCTTTGTGTTTATGTGTAATGAAGCATTAGGCAACACGGGAAGTCAAAATGAGCTTAAAGTCAAGAGGACACGGTACAATTAGAATTTCAAGCTGTTTACCAACATCAAAGATGCTCATCTGATAAGCTCAGAGACAAACAGAGTGGGTTTCATTTGTGGATTTGTCTCTTTTCATGCTGCGCTGCCTCCAGGAAAATTGTTTTAACTAGAAAGCAAGACATGCAAAGATTTTTTTAGCCGATGTGGATTGAATCATCCACACCGAACATGACAGTCGAAAAATAAAATGCACTTTTTTATGTCAAACTTTATATCCTTTATGTCCTGGTTCTCTATTAGAAATGCATCATGCTCTATGACAGATGCATGTTCTGCAGTAAAGATGATTGAAACCTTCAGACTAACATCAGGCTGATGTGATGAGTGAAGACATGGATGGTCACAGTTCTGCCTCTGATGGCAGATCAAAAGTTTTAAATCCAAGATATGGCAAAAAAGCATAACTTTATCCAAAGCATGGTGTTCTTTAAAGATAAATTGTAATTTTAAGCTTCCAGACACTGACTTCTGTTAAATTTTGTTACTTGTGCTCATTAGATTATATTTTATGAATACTACCATTTTACACTTATTCAGATGGAAATTCCCATGATTTTGGTATGTAGTTGTGTTCAGCTCATTGCCACCAAATAAATCTGCTCCAGCAAAACCAAAATGATAACATATAATCTAAATCACCGAAGTTCATGCACAACAATCCAGGTTAAAAAAAACAACAACAACAAAGTTAAGTCAGGGCCCCTGGACGGTTTCTTTGTGTTGAAACATTTCGTCTTTCATCCAAAGGACTTCATCAGTCTGAGGAGCCACAACAAACTCAGTCCCATAAGCAGCACGCACAGATAGTGGCCAACCAGTTTGAGGCTGATGATGGTTTCTGGGGCTCACCCTCTCCCCGTCTACTCCTCTGAGGCAGCCATGGCCGAAGTGGTTCAAAGAAACCGCCCAGAGGACCTGACTTAACTCTGAAGTTTTTTTTTTTTTTTAACATGGATTACAGTAGTCCCTTGTTTATTGCGGGGGATTCGTACCCTGAAACCCCCCCCCCCCCGCACGATAAGTGAAAAACCGTGAAAGAGGAATAGTAGTACAAGTAGTAGTTTATATATATATATATATATATATATATATATATATATATATATATGGGTATTTTTTTTAAACCCTTCCCACTCTCTTGAATATCCTAAACAATATTTCTAAACTCTAAATTCTCTAAAAGAGCACAGAATGTCATGCATTCAGCTCCCTGCCTCCTCTATGCCATGGCTGCATTCTGCGCTCTTGACCACGCCCACTTCTCCACAGCAGAATGGAGATCACAGCGTAGGAAAGAGGAGGGAGGAGGAGCTGCAGGAGGACCTTTCTCCTGCAGTGTGGGCTGCACACAGGTGCAGGAGGTGCTAAATAATTTTAAATAATTCATTTTAAATAAAAACGCCATGCTGATGTCGCAGCTCATCCTTCAATCAGCCAATTGTGTGTCATGTCCAATCTTATTTTGAAAAAACGCGCTAGAACAAGTCTGCAAAAAATGAACCACGAAGTAGCGAATGACTACTGTATTGAGCATGAACTTTGATGTTTTGAACCACTTTGGCCATGGCTGCCTCAGAGGCGTCGACAGGGGAGAGGGCAGGCCCCAGAAACCATCTTATCACCATCAAACTGGTTGGCTCACTATGTGCGTGTGCTGCTTGTGGGACTGAGTTTGTTGTGGTTTCTCGAACTGATGAAGTCCTTTGGATGAAAGACGAAACATTTTATCACAAATAAACCATCCAGAGGACCTGAAGTAACTTTGTTGGATCACCTAAATTAGTGTTTATAGCAGTCACGTTCACCTCTTTGTAGATTACATTTGTGTCACCGATATAAAACCTTACAAGAGCAACTCCTGAAATGAATAATGAAACAAGGACCGAACTGATGACAAGGTTGCCTTTTGCCCCTGTAGAAATATAAAGCTGCAACTATTTCACAAAGACACAAAAGCAGAAGCCTTCACACGAGACCTTCACTTTACAACTCGCATTACATATCAGATTATTTTCCCTGTACTTGTTTCTCTTTCCTTTTCGTCTACTCATACATGTCTTTTCATGATGAACACTTATACACACCACCCTCTGTAAACTGAGTG